TGCGAAGGAGTGATTCGTAAGAGTAAGAGGAATGATTTATTGCTGCAGATACTAGCGAGCTGATGGAGGAAACTCGTGGTACTGATTAAGCTAGACTCCTTTTTCATTCTCTCACATATATCGGTATATGTGCCACAACAGGGCCACGTGGTAAATGCCGATAATACTTGTGATAATACTTTGATCGCGATTCAGGTCAAATCGCGCATCTCCAACCTACCGTTTGATCGCTTAATTAACCTTGATGATCTAATGTGGCGATCTGGTGAGGAAGCAAAAGCATTCCACCATCTCGATGTAATAGATCTTTCTTCTAGGCTATTTTGGTGCCTTCGTATAGGATATTCCAAAATACGCAAGGTGAATATGGCCTCTTATGCCTTAATATAATCCTATCATCTTAATATATTAATAATTGTTTTTTTTTTTTTTTAATTTTATTGTCCATTGTCAAATTTTTTGTTCATTGTTCTAGACGGACTGGATGTTATTCTAGATGTTATTCCTGATTTTCTGTGCGTTATATCTTCCACGTAGAAATATTTATACTATAACCGCGTGTTCTACGTACAGGGTGTTCTTACGTACTCGTGCTAATTTCCAGAACTGATGATTCGCGAGCGGTGTTTATTTCCGTGCATTAGCGAAACAGTGAGTGCGGTAACCGTGCAAATGTAAAATGCTCGTCCGTGCGCCGGAGAACGGAAAGGGTGACGCGAAATTATGGCTGTCACGGCGTAAATTTAGACGACGATTTGCCATCGTTTCGGTTTGCCTGCATTCTATCACCTCGTCTGGCTAAAAGTTGCGATAATAAATCCTTCGGAAATGAAAAATCGCGAGGCATAAGGCGTATCGTGAATCAAAATATAAGAGATAAGAGCTTTGTGACTTAAAAAATATATATCTTGGCCGTTTGATGTATTGCTTGATAAATTTGTTATTGCGATAACTTCGAGATTTTGCTAACGATGGAAATCATGGGGAATTTTTATGAAGCACATATTACCTGTCTGCATCAGACAGATATAGCTACTGTGTCGCTTCCTAAAATTTCCTAAAATTAATTTATTTCGCAGATTCGCGTCAACGCGATCACGCTTGACACGCTTGGGAAGATAGAAATGCATACGGAAATGTCATTCGTCACTCACGAGCTGTTTAACGGATTGTTCAAGTCTTGATCTTGAAGTGCTGACTGAGACTGCGAAATTCAGTCCAGTGAAGTCACGCGACATTTATTGTCATTCGCATGAATTTCTTGGCCGACATGGCACGTGTTTATAACGTTGACTGTTTCAGTGCGGAGCGAGATTTGGCAACGGTCATCTGATTGATGGCATTTTCACGGAGCCGACTTTGGAACCGGGTTATAATTTGGTGGCGGTGGTCCCGCGTGGCGCCTTGGCACTGAACGTGACCGAACTTCGTCGCACGCAGAACTATCTTGGTAAGAGAAAATAGGTATATATGTGACTATTGATAAAGATAAGTCAAAGTGACCAAACTATTTTCATTCAACTTGAACGCTGAACCTTTAACTTTACATTTAACTTTACATTGCACGTTTCATATTTATTTAAATAAGATTGTATATTTATAGTAAATATAATATCTCACACACGTTTAAACCTAGTATTATATTTTCAATTAAGATTATTTGATATATTATATTTTAATGTCTCTCCACTTTTCCAAAGGCACATCATTAGAAAATGTGAAAATTGCTTGATAGAACGTTTTGAAGAATGATAATCGTTTTATTACAATGTAAAAAAGAACAATAATTGTTTTATTACGAGTTATAATTGATGTCGGCGCATATGCCACTTTGTGCATTTTGCAATGTAAATTGGACGTTACATGATCAGGACGTGACTAGCGACTTTTCTTGCTGGCGTTCAGATATTATCGATACTAACATTAATTGCGCGATTGGCGCCAGGTAGAATAATTCAGTGGTATCGCTTTGGATTTCGTGGAAATCGCAACCGGTTGCAAGGAATGCATTTCCACCTATCGTGATTTCTCACTGTTTATGCACTGTTTACGGTAACCCGTTACATGGCGTGGTCGTTAAATAGCGACCGCACCCGACGATTAAGATCATCGTCATCCTGCAAATGATTACATGCAAAAATTAACTGACTGAGTTATTTTGCTTACAATATCTAATGATTAAACACAATTTAAAAGAATAAAAATGACAATCATTTATTTAAATAAAATATTATAAAGATATTGTAATGCGGTTTATGTGTGTTTTTGCAATTTATTGCAAGTTACAACAAGTTTAAGGATTAAATTTGAATTGTAAAGTAGTATTACTCGCTTCATTATGTGATTATCTGTCTCATAAATCTCGATTATTTCCAAGTCTTTAAGGATAATAATTCTCTATTATAAAACAATATTTATGACTATTCAATTTGTAAAAATTAATGAATTTTTTTTTACAGAGTCTGCCACATGTTTAAAATAATGCTTTAAAGACATTATATAATTAATTAGGTAAAATTTACGGTAAAGCTTAATTTTTAGAAATTAAACTTTTTAAATACGCTATGTTTTTTAAAACACTTATAATAAAAGTTAGTAGAGAGAATAATATTTAATTAAGAGACAAATTAAGAAAAGAACAAGACATTACAAAATAATAATAATAATAGTAATAAAAGTACCAAAAAATACCTTATAACATATATGATCTTTATATGTATATAATTCCTTAATAATAATACAATATTGAAAATTTGATTAAAAATTGAAGTTTGATTTATTATGCGTGAAGATAATCATTGTTGTATCGAAGTAATGATCGTTCGATCGAAGTAATGATTGCCTTTCACAGGATATGAACAACAGATCATAATCAATGCACCTTCTATGCAATGATTGCGTTGTCGATAAACAAGCGAATTGCCAACAGCGTTATTAATTGTGATCGTTAACAATTCTGTCGGAAACCTTCATTACCGCCGACGTGATTGCACCTCCGTGATTATCCTCACCTAATCTGTAAAGACGAGTGAGTCAAAGAAAATCGCTTTGCGTGGCTTTAAATCCATATCATCTTTGAGAACTCAAAGAAAACATAAAAGATAAAATACATGAAATTTACAAAATATAACTAGTAAATTATAACACACGAATATTACTTCTTGCAAAAGAATTAATTAGAATATAATAAGATAAATGTAAAAATTAGAGATTAAATTCGACTTCGTGAATGCACTTCCGTTTATCTGCTTTAATTTCATTTCTTTTTACTGACTTGTGCTGACTAGCGCAAAGTGACGTAATGCAATCATTCACAGCGTGGAACTGGGTCTGTTGTCTCGCTAAATTAGATGCACCGGCCCGTGCCACGTGGATTACATAAATTGCGCGCGACCGTAAACTCGCTCATAAACGGCTGCCATTGTGCGCCCAAGTCTCGCTTAAACGATCGTGATTGCCAGCTTTAGCGTGATCCGTGTCAATTGACACGTCGAACATCATCGCTGTTCTATGAATAGAACTATAATAATTCACTCGCAGATAATTACGGTCATCGGTAATGTTTTCACGTCCAACTCTCGATCTCTAGATCTCAATATATTTGTAACGTTTTTTAAAATATATACATAATAATAGCGAATATATATTTCTTATTATATGATATAATAAGTGATTAATTCTAATCTTTTTGCAACAAAGTTAAATAAAACAATATTTTTAATGTGTATTCCTATTATTTGTACCTCAGATTTAAGTTCAACGTGCTTTTTAGTTTAAAAAAATATATAATAAAATATCATATTAATATATTTAGTAAAATGTTTGCAGCAATTAGATTGCAAAATGGCAGTTATTTATTAAATGGAAATAATGTTATTAACTGGTCCGGCGAATATAAGGCGGTCGGAACGACATTTGTTTATCGTCGCCAGAGTCCTCAGAATTTAGAAAGCTTTTCTGCTGCGGGCCCATTACAGGAACCTATAGATGTCATGGTAAGTAATACGATAGATGTTAAATTGTAGATATTGTAGATATAACGCGATCGTAATAATGACGGCTTATTGTTAGAGTAGTAATTGAGTAGTAATTGTTGAGTGCTGGCAACTGTGGGCGTTAATGAGTTTAACCGAGTTCTATTTAATTCTTTTACCGCGGATTTTCTGCTGCCTATTGTCATAAATTGTGTAGATTCTATTTAGTAATGTTAAATCGTATATTTTTTATTTACAAATATAACATTAAAATTTAATAATTAAAAACTGTCTGAATTAAAGATGGAATTAATATATAAAATAATATTACTTTTAATTATTATCTATTCTATAGGTTTTATATCAGGAACCAAATCCTGGTATTGTTTATCGATATCGGATTCCCGGAAATGTAAATTTATCGAGAAGTAATCATCTCCTACACAATGCAGGTAAACAAATTAATGCAGACAAGATAATTAATGCATTATTTTTCTTTTTAACATAATAAATGTTTAAACGTACAATTAAATTATTAAAATTAGAAAATTATTTGTTTATAGTTTCCAATAAAAGTGTTGAGCATAGCTTACAAAATAGGAGGTAAGAAATGGTTTTGATAAATTAACATTCTTTAATAAATTTAATAAAATAAAATATTTTTATATAATTTTCTGATAATTAGCGTCATGCTTTAAATTCCACATTTAATAATTAAAATATTTAATTTTAGATTTGAAAATGGACCAACAATAAATAATGAAACGTCTTCACCGTATTCATTACGACGGTACAGAAGAAGAAAATTTATCTGGAAAGCGATTGGCTATAGTGACTGTAGCAAATCATGCGGCGGAGGTAAACGAGGATTAACTGAATATTATTAAGTATTTTATGGGTTGAATTGCGGGTACAAAAGGCTTCTGTATGTTATATAAGGTATACAGATACTCAGGCACATATGTATCAAAGAGCACACACAACAGCCAGTACCGGAGAAAAGATGCCATGCTTTGGAAAAATTGCACGAAGTTCGTCTTCGATGTAATACTATGCCATGTCCACCAAGGTAATTGAAGTTCAATTTATATTTTATGTGTAAAAAATCAATTAAAGACATCTGGTTATATGATATTAAATAATAATATATAAAATAATAAATAATACAAAAAGGTAATATACACACATGTAAATCACAAATAAAAGTGCATGGATTATATTAAATTTTGCAAAATTTTTAATGTATTTATGATCTATAATACGCTATATTAAAAATTATTTTAAAAATTAATTATCTTAATGAAGACAATTTAATGAAGACAAAGCTATTTATTAAAAAATATTTGTATTGTTGTAACATTACAAAAGAAGTTAAAACTTTATTAATTTTGAGTGAATAATGAATAAATAATACATCTTTTAATGTTGCGAAAATTTAATTAATTATCTAAGAATATTCTTCTTATTTTTTTGAAAATAAAATCTTCAAGATGGCGCGGCGGGCCATGGAGTGACTGTTCTACTTCCTGCGGCACTGGGGTTCGTACACGAGAACTCGAATGCGTACAAGAAGTGAAACCGTCATTAACGATGAGAATCTCTGACGGTGCTTGTATGGAACCAAAAAATCTGTCAACAAGCGAGATGTGCGAGATGCCAGCATGCAACGAGGAGATCAAGCAAACGTCGACGCAGACGTCTGTTCAATTATCAGCACCGCGGTGGACTGTAGGTGTTTGGTCGCAGGTAAATCTCGTTTGATCATATATCTTAGAATTATTCACATTTTTTTCAAGATAATTTGTTATATAAAAAAAAAATTGAATAAAACATACGATATAATAAACATACGATTACATGAATTTCAATGTCTGGAAAAATGTGATATATATTAGGAGCAATATTACAAAACAGTATTATGTTAGATTTTGAATTTGGACTATAATGTACGTTTTCAAATTTGTTATAGAATTTTAAAGCAAAACAATTTTTAAAAAATTAAAAAAATAATTATTGAATTATAAAAGTATCAGTCAAATGATCGTAATCCTATATGTCATTCGTTTCAAAGTGTTCCACATCTTGCGGCACAGGGAAAAGAACAAGAGTTGTAACTTGCGTTACTGAAGATACTCCGTGTGATCTTTCGGAAAAGCCTGAAGCACATGAAACATGTGATTCAGGCCCATGTCTAACGAAATCAACGCCATTGAACGTTGTTTCTGCAAAGCTTCAGAATCCGCAGTGGTTATTTACTGAGTGGTCTGACCAGGTGAATTTTTATCAATTTGCAAACTGCAAGAGCTACAGTCTTAAAACATACGTATAACTAGTTTATCGATTATTAATAATAACTTATTAACGGAGGAACTGATAGAAAAAATAATACATATAAAAATTTTTAATTATAAATTTAAATTATATTGTTTATTATGTTCTAAATTACATAGATCAAAGAATTATCGTATTAATTTTATTATTAATCTATAAATTATTGACTTCAGTGTTCGGCAGAATGTGGGACTGGAGTTCAAACTAGAAGAGTTCTTTGCGAGACAAGCTCTAATGAAGAACATTGCGATGAATTAAGTCGACCTGAGACTTCTAGAGATTGTTTGAGCAACAGAACTTGTAGTGGTCAATGGTTTACAGGACCATGGACGGAGGTCAGTTTTAAATGTAATTGTCTAATAACTTATAAAATATAATTTTAAACATTTTTAAATGTAACAAGTGATTTTTTTTTATTCTCTAGTGTTCCTCAAGCTGTGACATAGGCGAGCAAGTTAGAGATGTTGTATGTGTTACAACTCTTAGAGGCTCTTTACGAGTCGTTTTAGATATGAATTGTCCTGCGAACAAGCCGGAAAATAGAAAATCGTGCAGAGAGAGTCCTTGCACCTCTGCTTGGTTCATATCAGATTGGACACCGGTAAACACCGTCTAATCTTTTATCACGTTAAAATTTTAGAATTAAAATCTTCATCAACGACTAAAACAAAATTTGGTAGATTAAAGTGATTGGCTCAATTGTCGTGAGTCATACATTAATTCTGGATCCGATGCTTTTACCAAATTAATATATTATAAATATTATTAATAAAATTATAAGCTATTTTTAAATTTTTTAGTATTAATATTGTTAATGCAAGAATAATTTTATATTTTATAAACAAATAAAAATAAAAAAGTGTATTTCCGACTCATAATTAGAACATATATATAATAATACATTTTTTAATTCTCTTCTACAATTTATAATTGTTATAATTTATTAAAAGTATAATTATTTTGGTCTGAACTTATAATATTTGTTGTTTACATTGATAGTAATAATATTTTTTTATAAACGTTTTAATAATATTTTCATATAAATAAATAAAAGTCATTTTAACTTTAAATGATTCATAATTGGACTCTTATATTTACTTTCGTTTATAGTGTTCACGATCTTGTGGTAAAGGCATTCAGAAACGCGAAGTTCGATGTCTAAATCCAGATGGTCAATTACCAGAATCATATCAGCTTCATTGCCGTGAGGAAGATCGACCAATATCTCGAAGGACATGCAACGATTATCCCTGCAGAGATGATTTAAGCACACCTGAACATTCTCAGAGAATTTTACAAATCCAAGATGACCCCGAAATAACAAATGGTTAAGTGAATTTTTAAATTTAAAATATAAATAGCGATTAACTTAATATAGTACTTAATATGATAATTAAGTAAATACGAATATAAGTTTATATCCGAATATAAGTTTATATTAAATATAAGTTTAATAAATAATAAATAACCGTTATTAATCTTTTGTAGTTTCTGTAAAGTTTATGAAATTATTATTAATATATAAACAATTGTATTAAATGGTATTTTCATGTGTTGATGTTTTATTTATTTATTTCAGGTGTTGAAGACAATCCACTTTGCAAAGACAAAATGGCTAATTGTAATTTAGTCACACAAGCTCGGCTTTGCTCTTATCAATTTTATCAAGAATCATGCTGCTTATCGTGTTCTCGAGGCAAGCAGGATTTTGAATAGAAATCTCTCCCTTCCCCTCCCCGTGACAATCATACTCATAACTTTTTTTAATGCAAAAAACTGCCTTTAGTAGTGTTTCCTGTTAATATGCATCGCCAAATAAAATTTTATTTTTGTCGTTTATTGATACAAATAATTTTTGATAATTAATAGATAGTAAAAATTTTATACGTTCTATATACATGTAGAAGTGTGGATATGTATGCAAAGTAATTTAATACACAATCCACGACTTTGTTAATAAATTTGAGCAAGATATTTGATAAAGAAACAAAAGAGACTGATTGCGTATGTAACTGCCAATTTGTTATCGTTATCGTTATTTGATGCAGCATTTAAATCCACATTTGTTCTCACATAACTATAAATGTACATCAAGCATTAATAAACGTTACGCTTTCTGAGTTGTTGTTCACTTTATCTTCTATTTCTTTTCTTCTTCTTTTTTATTTCCGTATTCTAATTTCAATGCAAAGACTTTCACACTAAAACATATTATATATATTATTATTCAACAACGAACGAGGAACGTGTATTATTTACATTGTCTCTAAAATAGAAACTTATTAATAATAATTTCTATTAATAAAATAAATTATATATATATATATATATATGTATATACAGATAAAATAAATCTTTAAACTAGATGAGAAGTTGCATCACGGAAACAAAATAGTTTCCATATTGAATATTGAGCTTATGATTCTACGAATCTCTCTTTGATTAATCTGCTGCTTGATTCAAGAGTTATCTTCGTTCTCCTGCGCGTTGTTTGTACCGTTGTCGTGATTTTTGTACGCTGAGAAGAACGCCAAGGCCTTCATTAGCTGATAGCTCTTGCTAATGGGTATATTGCTGTCATATAAACTCTTTGAAGCTTTACAATCTACGTAAAACCACCAGTTGCATTTCAGAATCGTTTGATCAAACAATGTCGATTCGGGGCACAGAAAACTCTTCATGATTAGGCCATCGTCCGTCAAGGCGCAAACATGAAACACCTAATTACAGAAAAATTGAGGTCAAGAATTCTTAATTATAATAAAAATTAAAAATTTTAATCATAATTTTTTTATATTTGTAAGCTATTTATATATTTAATTATTAAATTTGTTGTCATTAATAACCTAGTATAGTATATAAAATAATCATAAAATTGTAAAATTTATTGAATAAATATTTTATATAAAAATATTTTTCTAAGATAAAATAATTTTAAAAATCTTACCATACATCCTAGATCTTCATCGGCATAAAGACCCGGGAAATGTTTTTGATCTCCGCAATAGAAACTTGTGTCTGGTAAATCGACACGACTTGCGAAATTATCATCAAAGTTCTTATCATATCCAACAGGATAATATTCCCGCGGCGCATTCATCACTTTAGTAGCTCCAGAATTATATTTACTGTACATAAAAGAAAGTTAGGTTTTTTTATTTCAGTAGCTATACATGTAGATTTCTACTTTTTTTTTTCATAATATAGATTTTTAGTAAAATATTATATATTTATATTAAATATTTATATTAAATATTGCAAACAAAATGTGTTTCTATGAAATTTTCTATGAAATAAATGTCTTTTTAAATTATTTAAATATTTATTTAAAAGATTAGCTAAATATCCAAAATTGAAAATTTAATTGAAGGCGATTTACTTTTCAAGAAATGTGAAATAAATGAAATAAATGTGAAATAATTGTATTCTTTAAATTAGATAAATATTTTCTTAAATGACTAGTTAAATGCAAAAAGTTTAAATATTAATTAAAGGCAATTTACTTTTTAAAAGGTGCTAATGTCGTTGTTGTGGTTGTACTGATACTTGTTGTAGGTCCTTGTTGCTTTTTGAGAAGCTGTTGTTGTCTCAAAAGAATTGCTGCTTCTAAAGCTTCTAGGGTAATATTGCTTGCTTCTGCGAGGGTTTTTAAGGAAGATTCCATTCCTTGAATAGGAGCTAAGGAAGGTAAATTATTGGGCAAAGATTGTCGCTTTTCGTTTTGTTGAAGAGGCAATGATTGACTAGCGTCAGTTGCAGAAATAGGATGAAGAGAAAGGAGAGTCATTTCGTTAACTGAAGCAGCCATCTCGTCACTCGGCAAAGGTAGCTGTATAAAAATAATCATAACTCTTAAATTCATGTAATTTATTTTTGCAAAATTATATTTTATAACATTTTATCGCGCTATATAGATAAGAACTAAAATTCAAAAAATTAATATAAAATTTGATTTATAAAATATTGTATATCAATATAATAATTATCACGATAGCTACAGCGATAATAATAAAAATAAAAATTTTGAACAATATAATGTAATATATTTATGTCGGGGTTTTAAATTATTATTATTATTGTTATATGTGAATAATATTACCTGAGTGAAATCATCTTTCGATACTTCATTGTCGGAATCCTGCAAAGTGCCACTGTTACTGATTCTATCTGTGAGTTTCGCTGATGATTGCGGCATCGCAATAAAAGGTGGCAAACCAGCGTTTGATGTAACCAAATTAGACATTGTCTTTGATGATTGTGACGATGGAAGAACCTCAGCCTCAACCATACTGTTCGATGGGATTGCGGCGATGATATTAGGTAATTTCGGCACCGTTCCTGCCACCGCTATCATTTGTGGCTAGATAAAATATAGAAAATAAATTATAAAGACAAATATAAAATGTCATACATTGTCACTAATAAGATTTAATAAAAATTAATATTTTTGTCAATACTCATTCATTAGAATAATAATCGGAGCCATAGAAATGTTTTTATGCAAATGAAATTTAAACGGCAACACATCTGATATTGAAATAAAAACAATGTTAAATAAATTAAAATTAATACAAAAATAGATCACCACAACTACTTGGTCCTTCTTGTTTTCCATAGCCATAATCTGCTGTCGCTGCATGAGCATTTGCTGCTGCTGCTGTTGTTTCTGCTGTTGCTGCATCTTTTGAATTTGTTGCTGCCTCATAGCCTCTTGTTGCTGCAGACGTTGCTGTTTCAACATCTGTACTGCTAACGCCTCCTGTTGTAGTCTCTGTTGCTGCTTGAGCTTGTTTTCCTGATGAATTCGTTGATGATGTTGGCGTAGTGCTTCTTGTTGCATAACCGACATCACTGGAGCCGTTTTAAGAGCGGTAGCGTTCACCACCAATTTCTGACGTTCGGGTTGCTGAGTCATTGGTCGAACCATTCCAATCGGCAAAGGCTTAAAAGGCGGCACTACTTGGCGAGTATTTACTGAACTTACACGCGTGTCATCGCGATTGTTTGCCTGTAAAAATAATAAACTTGTATTTAAAAAGAAATAATACATCGTAATTTCTCTAAGTTTAATTTCTAAATATTCATTCTATTAATGAAGAACGCATCCATGAACTATATTAGTAAAAAGTTGTTTATTCACGCGTTGTCTGAGGAAATGTTAATAAAACAACACAGCGCCTCGAGTAAACATCTATGTACATACGTGAATGCTGCCGAGCGACATTCACGCACCAGTTGCGACAAGGCCGATATCATAGTTCATGTAATCCATATTTACTTATAATAAAATAGAAAAACCGATCCATCTTATTCCATCCGCGACCTACATATTCTTTTCGAGGTGAACAAAGCACATATTTCACAATTGCATCAATAATTTCCTTCTCGCTAAAGAAACATAATCAACAAAGGTAAATAATTATCAATCAATAAATATCGTATTCATATATAAATAATCATAATCTTGAGATATAAATAACGGAAATATAGGTTAATTTGTTTGCAAAATTTTAATTAAAAATAACTGTAAAAAAATTTTTAATTAGATGATTAAAATTTTGTGATTTTAAAATTAATTATTTTTTTAAACAAAACGTTAGTTGCAAAATAATAATGTAGTAACATATTAAATGTTTCCTTGGATAAAGCGCCAACGAAATGAAAAGTTCGTAATGGTATCGTAGAATATAATCCTATAATTATTATTGATCGTGTGTGTTATATATATATATATATATATATATATATATATATCGAGAAGCGAGATCAAGATGAGAGGAGAGGTTGCATCGAGGACAGATGCAATTATATTGTATGTCGTGGAATGGTCAAAGCGGACTTTCAGAGGAGATATCGCCTCTATGAATAACGAGTGAACGCTTTCGCGCTGATCCCCTTCTATATTGGACTTTCCATGAGCCGATTTATGCGAGACTATCGTTAACGTCGTTACATCTATCGTTGAACACAGGATGTTCAGCCCGAAAGTATCGCGAAAGTGAACGTGTTAAGATCAGCGTAGAAACAGAAATGCCTTCGGCAGGAAGGAAAGTAGAAAATATAACAAATAAACACAAAAATAGACAACAAGCGAAAGTAAAATTGTTATTCTACATATTCAATTCACAGATCGATTCTTTATTATTTGTATGTAAATATAAATCATATATGTATATATTTTTTATACATATAATTTTTGTACACATATAATAATATATATTTCTTTTTTATTTTAGATTAAAAATTATATTAAGTACAAACATATACTAAATTGTCAAACATATAGCAATACGTAACATAGTATATTAAATTGCCTTGGACTTTTTTACTTACCGCATTCAAAGGATTAAGTGCTATTCCGTTAACTCTATTCGATTGTACACTTCTTCTTTTTGCACTTTCCAAATTGGAGAGCGATTGGCTAAAGCCTAGCTCGTCTCCAATGGAAAATCCTGTAACCATTAAGGTTAAATTAATATGATTTAATTGTAAGTGTTATGTACAAACCGGAGGATTTAATTTTTATTAATACTATGCAAAAATACACAGATTTAATTTTATTTACAAAAAGGAGAAGACAGTACTTTTGTAGAAAGCTTTCTATAAGTGTGTTAAGAAAATAGAGGCACGTAAAGCGTAAATACGCATGAAGAATCAATCAGCAATGTGGAAATTATTGTTTTTTACAAGAGCCATTTCCAATGTACCAACTTCGTTTTCTCCATTTCTTTTATTATTTCATTGTTACAGTTATATTTTGTATAGTTTGTGCATTATTTAGGCAGAGTTTTTTTATACACTTTTCTACAATAATTTATCTCTATCGGATTAAAATTTATATTAAAACTATAGATCTTCGAGAAATCTGTTTGTTATATTATATCTCTATTTACGCCAATACAGTTTACGTTAGTTAATATAAATATATATTATATATATATAAAATTGCTCAAATGCAACACTAGCAAATTGACGAGTAGATATTATGCAAAAAGGGCGTTGCGTCATTTTAACGCCTAGTAGCTCATTTTTACACTGTCGACATTTGATCCTTAGTCACATACATTAAATGCAAATGGTGTCCTCGTCGAAAAGGTTCTTTCTTTTGCGCGGATATTTAGTTCACAAGTGTGCCAGGTCAAAGGAATGAATAAATCATCATCGGCTTGTCGTTGCGCCTTTAAAGACGTGAAATTGCGACTTTGGTCGAAGGGCAGCATCCAATGCATTCAAGTTGCAATCATGGGTTAAGCCATTACGTATTATACCTACGAGGACGATCTCTACACTTATTTTGCAATAATCTTGTCGCAATTTTTTCACTATCAACGCAGTTATCTTTCGTACAAGTCTTATTTGCAATTAACATCAAAATTAAATCAATTACAGTAGTGTGTGAGTAATGAGAGGTTGAATCATAAGAAACAGATATCTTTGAAACTGAACGATACGAAAATGATAATGTAAGACGGCAGGTTTCAACATTTGTGATAATTACGAAAAATAGGAAAGCACGAATAAAAGATTGATTGATTGTTCGATTTGATAGTTTGACTTGCTGTCAAGTTACGATATCGCAATTATTGCATCTTGTAAACGTACTTATCTCCTCGACCGAAAGAAATCTTATGTAATAATTGCACGCAATTGAATACATTTTCCGGCAGTGATATGATAGACGCATCTATCAGTGCGCACGCAAATAATACACAGGTGCGTGATAATTTTGACGTAATGTACAAATCGCCTTATTTCCCAATCGTTCGGAGAAAAGATACACGCAATAAATATTTATAGACATTGGTGAAAGAAATATCATTCTTAAATTGCGGACAAAATAAAATTGTTAAAGCCGGTCACGCATAATTTAGAAATCACTATGAACATTTGCATAAATAATACACGAAGAATATTTCACAATCTGTGAAAGATGAGTATATCTGGTTGAATAAAGTTAACATATAAACGTTCGTTTAGTTCCGAAGTGATAAGAATCTTAAGTTGTTCTTGGAGTTTTTCATTGCAAACAGACCCTTCGAATGTACATAGAACGTTCAGCATAACAATCGGTTACAATCTCTTTACAGTAAATTGACTAAGCGGTATATAAAAAGATTGAATGCATTTCTTAAAAAAGGTAAGCATCAAAAGGAAATGTGTCAAGGTAAAAAGCATCTCAACTAGAGATATATAGTGACATTAATTTATTTCGGTATTTCCAAAATAAAAATAAATCTTGATAGACTTGACTGCATACATTATAAATTACGTAATACTTTAAGCTAAAATTAATTTATGCGTACACATAATTTTAATTTTAAATACACGCGTATACATAATTTTAATTAAAACTTCTAAGACGCTTTATTTATTATTTATTGTATAATCTACAAATGTACCTAATAATTAAAAGATCGCGTAATCGAATTTCGTTAAGTTTAATTTTGTTCAAAGTTAAATGTACTTGGAAAGAGTTCTTTGACTTTATTGACGCAAACTTTAGATGTAGATACACAAGATTTGATTAACAGAATAATTATATTTTCTCAAGGTTGTCCGTTTACTCTACGATCTCTAATGAAAAATTAATCGACCGAATCAGAACCGAGAACCAGTGCATTATCAAATGCGATCGTTGAACGCGATAATGATCGCGGTCGTTCCCATAATTCAACTCACCCAGGCCGACGTAACCCTTTACGCCTCCGAGATTTCTGACACGGAAGAGACCGGACTTTTTGAAAGCGCAGTTTAGCACAAAACCAAAGTCAGACTGGAAAACACATGTGCCTAGCGCCTCTCGCCATGTACATCCTGTAAGCAAAACCGGAAGAAACAAAGCCATGGATCATTTTTCTGATCCATCGAATTCGAAATCGACGATTCGGATGATTCGTTTTGCTCGCTTCTTTTGCCGTGATGAACACATTTTTGAAAAATAAATTGTCTCTCAAGCTGTACATTACATTAATAAATATTACAAGTTCCGTCAAATTCTAACTTATGTGCATTTCTTATTATAAAACTTTAATTTTAATCTGCGATTCTTGTTGTTAGGTATGTATAAATTAGGTTAAAGATTAATTCTGTGCTATAGATTCTTCATCGTCTGTTATAACGTTTTAAAAAAAAAGTATTCACATAGTCTAATAATAAAAAATAAGACAAAAAATTAATATTAATATAATAATATAA